GACTTGCTGGCCACACTGTATTTTATATTTTATATTATTATAGCTACAAATATATTTATTTAGACCTCTACGAATTTTTATTTATAAGTTCATTTATCACACCATCCCACTTTACCATGTCTTCCCCATGGTCATGCAGAAAGAACACAGGTCAGCTTGTGGGGTGCACCCTTTCCTTCTTGCTGGGGGACGCTGGGCTTGGGCTTTTGGGCCTATGACTCACACTGGTGCCGTATGGGTGTCACACTGTATTAGGAACGGCGATAGCGACAAACCAGACTTTCAAGCTTAGTTGCAAAGAGAGCTAGTTTTATTTTTCCAGATCTTCTTTTATAGACAGTTCTGAGAAGTTCTGAAAAGGTAAAACTTTCATTGGTCATCAAACCAACACATCACCATCATTGGACAGTTAGGAACAACACCCTTTGACCTTTTCTTGCAAGAAAACAAGAACAGAAGCAACACCTGAAAAGGTTACTTTTCTTCTCTAAGGACCGTTTGAGTTCCTCCTCACAATTTCTCAGGCCACACTTTCTCAGGCCAGTGTAAGAAAGTTATGTGACTCAGTTTCACACAGACACTGTGCTACCTGCCTGATCTCTCACATTCAGCATTCACAATTCCCCCTTTTTGTTTTAAGGCAGAAAGGCAGCATTTGTAATCTCCTGCAGGGCCCTTGCAAGAAAGAGGACAGACAGCATGTGTGGTCTCTTTAGTAATTTGTCAGTTACCAAATGGAAACTGAATTGGACACTGATTAAAATGATTAGGGAGATTCTCTGGCACATGCTATCAAATCCTTCATGCACTACCATCAAGTCTTGTTTTTCATTCTTGCAAGGGACCAATTGCTAATTCTAATATAATTACTAATTCTAATACAGTGAACAAAACATCATTTTGCTCAAAGAACTGGCAGTCTAACTTGTCAACAGGACAAAATGTTCACTCTCTACTTGTAGAAGGACCAACTGATGGATGGTCAGCATCCTGATCATCATCCAAAGGTTGCCTGTTGGCTACTTTCTGCCCTTGGTGTCACAGATCAGGGCAAACACATCTTTCAGGTATCCACTGTATCCCAGTATCTGTGGAAACGCATGCATACCCACAACCCCAAGTGATGAGCTCACATGGGCCCTTCCACTTGTTAGGCATTAGATCTTGCACCCAGACTTTCGCTAAAGGCAGGTACGTCTCACCTGAGGACTGCAATGAAAGGAGATGGTTCAAAATGACAGGATTGTCTGAATTTTTTGACACTGTGAGGTGATTGATTGTATATAGAGCCTACTGACTACTTTTTGGCTGAAAAGACAATTCAGCTGACTTTGCCAATTTCAATAATTTGTGGCTGGGCAGATGATAAGTAATCTGCCCTGAAAAATTTTGCAGCACACTCTGTAAGAAAGCGCTGTTAGTAAAACTCCATTCAAATTCTTCCTGTTGTACTGGGAGAGTAATTTTTGCATGGTCAGCTGCCATTAATTGGAAACACCGTTGACAACATTTGGTTTTCCATTGAGCAATCAATTCACACAATGTGGTGCTGTCTTTTTCAGTTGATGGGGCAGGAAGAACCATTCCAAAATGTGCAAAGGATCAGACCATTGTTCACTTCCATTGGCCAATGATACCTGTAGGATGAGAATCTGGATTAGTAATAAAAACAGTCATATCAATGGAGGGATCTACTCAGTAAACCTGACAAGCAGAAACAGTTTGTTGGACTTCCTCCAGTGCTCGCCACGCATCAGGAGTCAGTTCTCAACGTGAATTCAGATCAGGGTCCCCTTTTAAAATATTGAAATATGAAATATTGAACAATGGGGACAACTGCACTGTGGTCAGTCCAAGTAAGGATGTTACCACGTGATGATACCCATCAATTTCTGGGCATCATTCAGAGTCTTGATAGAATCTATGAATTACACCTCCTGATGGTGAATGCTTTGATCTAAGATTTTGACTCCTAAGTATTTCCAAGGAGGATGCTGTTGAACCTTCTCCGGAGCCACCTGCAGACCATAAGTGTAACTTTTCTTTAGTCTCTCTCTCAGCCTCCTTTGGGCTGAATTCTTTTTGGGATCCTCCCTCATGGGGAGTCCCACTTATCTCAGTTCTTATGATTCAATGAAAACTCCTGGGCTCATTAGAATCTGGTTTCTCGTGTTTATTGAAGGATTCTTACAAAACTTGGCAGGTCTCCCCAGACTGACTGCACAAGCTTCAATCACTACAGCTTGGCTCATTTTGCTCTGATGATACAAAATGGCCCCGAACCACATGCTCTCTTCACCTTTATACTAATTTTTACCCTATTAACTACAGACACATGTATTTTTATTATATCTTAACAAATAAGTTTTCTATATCTACTCACATAATTAAAAGTGCGACTAACTGTAAACCAATCATTCTTTGTGCTTCTAAAAACTGCAGGAGCATGGAGAAGAAGGAAGAAGAAGAACTAAAAACTACACCCTTTTCCCTCCATCTTTACTCCATGTATGAAACCCTCCTAAAATCTATATTTTCACCTCAGTGATATATTAAACATTTTTCTACTTTCTACTTAATTTCTTACAAATCTCGGCTTGCTCAGGGATATTTGGAAGCCCTTCTGTCAATATTATATAGGATTGATGCATTTTTTAAAGAATTGAATAGAGAGACATGTCTCTACATTTCTGGACTCCTACATCTCCCCCTTCTCTTTGCAAAAAAAAAGATCTTTTTTCTTTAATTCTTCCAGAATGGCTTCCTTGACCATGAATGAGTCAAGCAGATAATGTCTTCAGACATTTTCGCTTGACTGATTCATGAGCAAAACTGTGTTGCTTAAGGCAATTAATAAAAAAATAAGGCACAAACAAAATGGCTAGCTGATCTTATTCAAAAACCTTATTCTCCTCAAAAGTTCTCAAACTTCTGTAATAAACAACCCTCTCTCTCAAAGTTCTCAGTTCATATATTTTGCATGTTGTTAATTCTTCAGCGTCTGGAATGTTGAATGCTGTCTTCACACAAAATCACATTTGTGTGCTGGCTTCTCGATTTCGGGTGTCTTCTTCTTCTTCTTCTTCTTCTTTTTCTTCTTGTTTCCCGGTTCGATACGGTTTCACACACTTCGCGGGAACCCACGTTGGTCCTGCACCTGTGGAGACACAAGCATATCCTTTTCCCCAAGTTATTAATTGAAATGGACCTTCAATTTGCTTTGATTCTAAATTTCTAATCAAAACTAAAGGTCTCTCCTTTAGTTTCACCTGGGTATTATTTTAGAAATGCCTAATAATCGGTGGAATTGGCTCTGCAAAAGATCTATTCCGAAAGTTCAAAACATAGTGTTTTATTCAATCACATCTGGGGTGTAGCTTCTGCCTCTCCTCTTCTCTGCCTATCTAAAATAGATTTTAAAGTACAGTGAGTTCTTTCAATAATAGCTTGACTCGTTGAAGAATGGGGAATGCCAGTAGTGTGATAAACACCCCATTTTTTCAGAAATTCATCAAGAGCACGATTCTTATATGTTGGCCCCTTATCTGTTTTAATTTCTTTATGTCCACCAAATGATGCAAATGCCTGTAAGAAATGTTTACATGCATGTTTTGCTGATTCCCCTGGGTGAAGAGAGGCAAAAACTGCACCTGAGAAAGCGTCCACTGATACATGGATATTCTTAAATCTCCCAAAAGATGGATATTTAGTGACATCCACTTGCCATAATTGCAAACTCTCCAATCCTCTTGGGTTCAATGCTCCTGTAGATACAGGAGGCTGTGCCAACTGACAATTTGGGCTGGCACTTACAATGGCTTTTGCTTGCTCTTTTGAAATACGAAAAGTGTGCATCAGTGCTTGAGCATTCTGATGAAAGAATGCATGACTCAGTTTTGCCTGTTCAAAAATGTTTGGTAGGGTGTTCGAAATAACCAAAGTCAATTTATCTGCTCCGGCATTTACTTCTGCTAAAAACCCTGGGAGAGAAGAATGTGCTCTAATATGTAAAACAAAATACTGATTTTCTCTCTGTCCTATTAGTTGTTGCATACTGACAAGATAACAATACAGATTTTCATTATCTACTTCTTTCAGAAGAGATCCTTCTATTCTTTTAACAGTATTTGCTACATAGGTCGAATCTGTGATCAGATTAAAGAGTTCTTGAAATAACTGAAATGCTTTGACTACTGCAACCAGTTTCACAATTTGGGGTGAGCCTTGTACTGTTTGAATATCTGATTCCCATTTCTTTGTGGTTGTATTCTTCCATGTTATAACTGCTTTGTGGGTTTTTCCTGAACCATCAGTAAATCAGGTTATTGCATTTAATGGTACTTCACTTAGTTTAGGTTTCTCCTTATAACTTAATTTGGACTGCAACAGTTTATGGCTGGGAAAATGACTTGAACAGACTCCTGAGAAATTTAGCAATGCAATCTGTAAATGATCTGATTTTTGCAATGCCCAATCTAAATAATCTTTTTTCAGAGACAGGAAAATCGTAGTGAAATCTTTACTTGTCATTGTCAACAATCTGGTTCTGGCCATGATAATTATCTGGGCTGCCATTTCCAATGGAGTACAAATTGTTTTAGGGAATCTGTAGGGCAAAAATACCCAATCTATTATCAGCAAAGGATCTCTCTCTGAATTGTCCCATTGGAACATAAGACCATACAATTGAATGCCCTTCTCTAACACTCCCAAGAAAAAGGGGTGAGTCCTTGAAAATCAATGGGCTTGTAGTTTCTGAAGAGCCTCAGAGATATTCTCAAGAGCTCTTTGAGCTTCAGTTGTAAGAGTTCTGGGAGATCTAATGTTATTGTCCCCTTTAAGTAGATTAAAAAGCGGTGAAAGTTCATCATTCGTGATTCCCAAAGTTGTTCTGATCCAGTTGATTTCTCCCAGGAGTCGCTGTAATTCTTGCAGATTACTGATTCAAGTTCTTACTTGTATTTTCTGTGGCCTTATTGCTTGTGCTGTGACCTTCCATCCTAAATTTCTTGAATTTTTGAAATTGAAATTTCTAATCCTGCTTTTTGAATTTCTGCAAACATGCTGTTGCGAGTCTTCTCCAATTCCTGCTGTGTTGCAGCTGCGATGAGCAGATCATCCATAAAATGAATGATCAATGCCTTTGGATGTTTTTCCTTCACTGCAGACAAGGCTCGCGCTATGAACCATTGGAAAATTTTTGGAGAACTGTGGAGACCTTGGGGTAGCACCACCCAGTGATATCTCTGTAGAGGTTTCATTCTGTTGATACTTGGAACTGAAAAAGCAAATGGAGGAGCATCTTTCAGATGAAGTGGAATGTTAAAAAAACAATCCTTGAGGTCGAAGATCATGACTGGCCAATATCTTGGGATCATCAAAAGTGATGGAAGTCTGAGTTGAAGGGGTCCCATTTCTTCAATGACCTTGTTGATTCTTCTGAGATCATGAATCAGTCTCCACGAACCTGAAGATTTTTTATGAATCACAAAAACTGGGGAATTCCAGGGACTAGTAGTTGGCTTAATATGGCCTTTCTGCAACTGTTCTTGGACTAACTTCTCAAGGGCACTCAGTTTCTCTTCTTCCAAGGGCCACTGATCCACCCAAATAGGGTCATCTGTCTTCCAGTGTTGCAGTCTGCAACCTCAGGATCTCGTCCAGGGAAGCAGCAGGATTCTGGGGACCAGCATAAAACACCAACGAGACGGGCTCCCGTTCATGAAACCATTTATTCAGCATGGGAACAAAGTCAGGTCCAGAACAGAGAGCCCTGAACAGAGGCACAGCAGGGGTTTTTGAGGGACAGAACTCTTAAGGGTCTCCACCCTTGAGGGTGGAGTTCAGGGTCAGGGACCAGTAGAAGCACACCAAGGGAGAAACCCCCAGGGACTCAAACTCAATCAGAACACCTGTGCCGCCCTTCACAAGGGGTTTGGGGTGGGACAATGTAACTCTGTCTCCCTGAGGCCGCTGCCACATTCCAGGTCAGTTTCAAGGTGGTGAGTGCCTCAGTGGCCCCTGTCAGAAATCCATTTCTATTCTCATTCCCCATTGGGATACAATGTCTCTTTCCCACACTGTGAAGGGTCTCTGCACCACAAAAGGACAAACAATAGCTGTCTTCTCTTTTGGCCCTGTAATGATGATGGGATGTTCGCTCTGTAGGCACAAGGTGTTCCCTCCAATGCCTGAAATGGCACTCAAGGGAGTTTTGAAACTCCATTCCCCAGGCCAGAGGAGATGTGAAATGACTGTGACATCAGCGCTTCTATCCATTGTCCCTTGTATCAAGACTGTGTTGTTGTTATATGTTAATCTACAGGTGATTACAGGTCGATCACGGCTAATTTGTTTCACCCAGGTGGCATGAACTTCTGTATATTCATTAGTAGATGAAATTCGCGCTCTAGTCTTTAACTTGATTGGACTATTTGCATGTGGAGGCAAAGCAACGGCTTTGGCTATCAATGTATTCGCTGGAAGAGTCAATGGAGGATGTAAGTCTTTAGCTAATACTGTCAATTCTTCATTGTAATTTTCAGAGACAACACATGGATAAATGATAAGTCCCAAAATAACACATCTGTCTCTGCCTATTGCAAAAAAATCTTGTCTCTTTCTTGATGCTCCAGTAACTCCTGTATGGAGTACTGCACAATCCTCATTAAGAAAAGACACCATTTTTAAAGTCCTCAATTCACATTGCGCACCTAGTGGTAATAAATCTGGATCACTGGGGAATTGACAAATGGTCTTGCTAAGAGAGTCAGATTGTTGCTCCCCGATGATCATTTTCTGATTAGAGAAATTCAGTGGAATTGGTATTGAGGGTTTTCCCTTACCACCACTTGTGTCGTCGCATGGTGGCTTGACGTGCTCTTTTTGGAATTTCCCGGCAGTGCCAGAGGCCTTCCTTCTACATCTGTTTTGGAAAAGCATTGACTAGGATGATGTTTTCTTCTTTGACATCTGGTGCAAAGACTTTGTACTTTTTTCTGCGATATGCAATTCTTTTTTATGTGTCCCTGCTTTCCACATTTATAATATATTGCTTTAAAAAGTGCTGCTTCCATTATAACTGTACAATTAAGTTGTTGAAAACATGATTCCATGCTCTTTACAATTTTCTTAAATCCTTCTCGTTGTTCTTCAAGTAACTTTTCAAATTCTTCCACTGTAACAGTTGCAACACGTGGAGTGCTTATCTTACTGCAGGCCTCTATCATTTCTTCAGTTGCTGGATATCCTGGCAAGGCACTGATGATACATCGACATTCTGCATTAGCATTCCCAAAAGCAAGGCCTTGAAGGAAGTGTGGCTTCACTCTTTCTTCCATGTCGGTCAATTGCTTGTGTGAGGCAATCTGCAAAGGTAGTGAAAGGCTCTGAAGGGCCTTGCCTTATTTCAGTGTAGATACCTTCTGAGGTTCCAGAGGGTTAAATTTGCAGCAGTCTCTTTTCAGCTGCTTCTACAATATCTCGGAACACTTCTGGAGGCAGATCTATTATCTGGGTTTCTGGTTTGTTGTATGGGATATCTCCTGCCATCTGGGCTATTGTGATGTGTGCATATTTATTTCTCAATTCAAGGAGGGTTTTTCTCCATCTTGAATTCCATAATATGAATTGTGAGTCTGTAAATATTGTTGATGCTATATATTTGCAATAATATGGGATCACTTCATGACTGCGAAAGAGACCTTTCAATAATTGTTTAAAGTATCGTGAATGAAGTCCTTTCTTTTCTACTTCATCCAATAGATCCTTTAAAAGTGAACTATCCACTGGTTCCCATCTTGGGACATCCTCCCTTCTTCCAAAACTCACTGGTAGCACAGCAATATCCTCAATGTTTTCAAGAGCATCTGTTCCTCCCCCTCTTCTTTGAGGAAGGGTCCATATTGATCTTTGGTTTTGTTTTAATGAAATTCTAGGTATTATAGGAAAATCTTGTGATTGTGGGACTTTAGCAGAAATAGGATCCATTAGATCCTGGAGGACTGAAGAATGTTGTAATTTTCTTGAAGCGGAGGAATAATTTTTTGAAAACCAGTCTTTTGACTCAATATTTCTAAAAGTTGAATTATCAGCTTGGAACAAAAAATCTTGTGTTTTAAATGATGACAGTGGGATTCCTTCACTAGCAGTAATGGCTAAAATGTTATCATCCTCCTCCTGCTGTGCCTCCATAAATGTAGATGATGATTGAGGGCTGTTGTAATATTGTTTGACCACAAGGCGGCGCCGTTGCCGCACAGATCGGCTGTAACTCCGTTGTCACCGCCGAGTCATTTTTACTTACGTTGACAATTTCCAGGAATTGCGATAAAATCTCTAAAAATGCATATTCAGAGGGATAATCCTCTTTAAGAGATGAATCCCTCTCGGTACTAATGACGTTTATGGTAGAGGCTGCTTTCTCTGTTTCCGGATTGTCTTTACGTTTGAGGTGCGCAGACTCGGTATCTGTGCCGGACTGCGCATGCGCGGTTTGGCAGGCGGTATTCCCGATCTCGGCCTTGGTGGGTCGGGCCCATCGCGTCATGGACCGCGTCATTTGTCCCTGTGGGACGAGCCTTTGTAGCTTTGGCCAGCCCCCTTCCCTTCCCTGCCCTTTTAAGGCGGCGCTTTAGTATTGCCCCTAATTTCTCCCCACTATTTTTTTTCTACTAATGTTTCTGTACCTTTATCATTACATTAACCCAAGCTCTTTCCAAGGCTGCAGATTGAACCCTTCAGCATCCATAGAATTTTTCATTTTTCCATTTCCCACATCTCCCCTCTCCCTCTGCACTAAAAAAAAAAAAAAACATTAATGGATTTGTTAATCATCTGTTGCATACACTGAAGCAAACAAGGCACCATTGTTGACATTACTATCACAATCACTAAAATATATAGACCTGCTTTAGGACACTTTTTTGGCCATGGTGTCAAGCCCCATCCATTAAACAAATCATCCAGCCAGGTTCCATCATCTATTTTGATTTTTGACACCCCTTCCTTGAGCTGTTGTATACTTCTATAAATACTTTCAGAGTGATCACAGATTCACTCTGATCAGATTCATGTAGCACATCCCTTCAAAATCTTCACATCCACATCCATGTGCTAACAATAGAAAATCTATTGCTGCCCTGTTTTGTAAAGTTGCATCTTTGACATCTGCTAAAAAACCACTTAATGCAAGAGACATAGAAATAGACTGTTTACTCAGCCAACATCCCAATTGATCTAATTGCTTTAGTGCTTCTGCTGATGCAAGTTGTGGCAAGAAAAGAGATGCTATGAACCTTTTTCCAAAACCCCAAGGATCAAAATCATCCTTACACTCTGGTCCATTTTGATGAATTAATGACTATTGTAGTACAAAACACTCACTTGCGGTGAGAGACTTCTCCTGGGTCGAGCAGTTCAGGTATAAGCAGTTTATTATATGGGTGAAGAGAGGGAGAGACCCGTGTCCACCACCAGCCTCGGTGAACACGTGGTCAGGGAGGGAGAGTGAGTGGAGGGGAGAGAGTGAGAGAGGAGAGGTTAAAGAGGGAGAGGGAGGAATCAAGAGCAAGAGCGGGAGAGCGGGGAGAACCAGGGAGGCTTAAGAGAGAGGGAAGAAGGGTAAGAGAGGGAAAAACAAGAGAGTGAAGTTCCTGTTGCAATACATGTCTTTCTATAGTGAATATTCTAATTTCCAGTAACCAATCGTTACGAGATACACCCACTAAAGAATTTGCATACAGCCTATAAGAATTACTACATTACCATGCGGTGTTACATTTCAAACTCTAAAAGCTTTACAAATTCTTCCCTTGCTGCTTGACCTTTGGATTCTCTATCTGCAGAAGGACATTGTTTCATCAACAGGGATTCTCCTTTAGCTGGCTAGGCTATTGTTCTTTGGATAGCACTCAGTATCTCATGACTTAAAGCTAGCTCTCATTTCTACTTCGATTCTAGGCTTCATATTTTCAGAATCTTTTGCTAAACAATCATATTCATAAGGTTTCCTTGTTTCATCCTCCCCAACTGTTATAAATGCAATGGCAAAATAGGGTTAATATAAAAAGCGATTTATTATAAAACAATTTCATTCACAAACAACGAGAAAAAAAAACCACAATAAAATAAATCAGCGCAGCACTGGGTGGACAGGGAGACGTCTATACCCAGAGGTACAGATTTACCCAAATCCACGAAGGAGGGTAGTCTGTCCGGGGTTTTTATAGGGATTTTGTGTCCTGAGGCCAAAACTCCGAGCAGTTACTGTTCAACAAAGAGTTTAGATGGCTGGTTGAATGAATTTCCTGGAACCGTGGAACTGAATCAATAGACGACTGGGCAGAGTCCGCTCGCATGTGAAAGGTTCTGAGTGCTTCTTGATTGTATCTTCGGTTGGGCTCTCAGGGTGAAGTGTCCAGGTCTGGTGCGGAGTCAATGGGTATCTCGGTTGGGCTCCTCTTATTGTTTGGCCTGATCGCATCTTCAGTCGGGGCTTGCAGGGTGGGGTGTCCCTGTGCGGTGTGGAGTCGATGGGCATCTCGGCCTGGCTCCTTTCATTGTTTAGCTTAATTGTTCGTGTCCTGCTCTTTCTTTCAGGCTGATGAACGTCGCCTAGGGTTGTTACCACCTGAATGGGTAGTTACTGCTGGGTTTGGGGGAAATCCTTAGGCCACACTATATTTTATATAATTTTTACATTGTTACAAATACAGTTATATACTTATTTATTCTTTCACGAATTTTTATCCAAGGTTACATATATCACACCAACAAATGACCTTTTCCCTCTACGTCTCATGTCGACAATTGTTTTCATACTTGGAGTTAACAATGTAAGCTTTCCCAAGGTACAAGGACCACCCTTGAGGCTAGATGGAATTACAGAATCACAGCATCACAGAATGACTAGGTTGGAAGAGACCTTCAAGATCATCAAGTCCAACTGATGCCGTAATACCTCAACTAAAATGGCACCAAGTGCCATATCCAGTTTTTTAAGCATATCCAGGGATGGTGACTCCACCACCTCCCCACGCAGACCATTCCAGTACTTTATCACTCTTTCCGTGAAGAACTTTTTCCTAATGTCCAACCTAAATTTCCCGTGGCACAGATTAAGGCTGTGTCCTCTCATTCTGTCAGTTGCTGCCTGGTGAAAGAGACCAACCCCACCTGACTACAGCCACCCTTCAGGAAGTTGTAGAGAGTGATAAGGTCACCTCTGAGTCTCCTTTTCTCCAGGCTAAACAACCCCAGCTCCCTCAGCCGTTCTTCATAGGATTTGTGTTCCAAGCCCCCCACCTGCCTTGTTGTCCTCCTCTGGATGCGCTCAAGCGTCTCAACGTCCTTCCCAAACTGAGGGGCAGAACTGGACACAGAACTCAAGGTGTGGCCTCACCAGTGCCGAGCACAGGGGAAGAATGACCTCCCTGCTCCTGCTGGTCACGCTATTCCTGATCCAGGCCAGGGGCCATTGGTTTTCTTGGCCCCCCAGTGCACGCTGCTGGCTCGAGTTTTGCTATTGTCAGTGTCATCCCCAGGTCCCTTTCTGCCTGGGCACTGTCCAGCCACACCATCCCCAGCCTGTAGTGTTACAGGGGGTTATTGTGGCCAAAATGCAGGACTCAGAACTTGAACTTATTAAACTTCATCCTATTCAACTCTGCCTATTCACCCAATCATTCCATTCACTCTCTGAATAAGTCTCCTAAATAGGCCAAAGTCTGCCTTCTGGAAGCTCAGTGTAAAAATCTTATTTTTGTTCCCTCTGATTTCACTAAGTACTGAGAATTCTATAATTTCATGATCACTGTGCCCCAAGCGGCCTCCAACCACCACATCTCCCACCTGCCCATCTCTATTTGCAAACAACAGGTCTAACATCGTCCCTCTCCTGGTGGGCTCACCTGTCGCTAGAGGACACAAAATTATTCACACAAGCATCTCTCAGTGTTAGAACAGAAGAAGGTACCTTTATTCTCTGACTCCAGTATTTGTAGATTCTCAACAATGACCAGGGACTGGATAATTAAGTTACCACCTTCCCAAGCACACTGGTCATGCAAAATATCCATCAAAAGACATTTGTTAGAAGGAATGTGATAAACAACTTGTGTTTATAGAATTTTCTTGGGAAAGTAACTAAAACTATGGAAACATTTTCAGAAGGCTTAATTTTCAGGGCAACATCTCACCCTTTCTCCTTTAAAAAAGAAAAAGAAAAAACAAAAATGAACAATATTCTAAACAATCAAAAAAGAAAATAAACAATGTTCTAAACAATCAGAAGGCTCTAGTTTCAGGGTGATACTCACCCAGCAGCTGCAACAAAAGTTGT